TGGGATGGGGGGGGAGGGGTGGGGGGCATCAACTAGTACTAGAGATGAGAGCAGTCTAGATTAGAGGGCGGGGAGGGGGGCATCATACTATGTAGCTAGAGATTAGAGCAGTCTAGATTAGAGGAGGGGCATCATACTATGTAGCTAGAGATTAGAGCAGTCTAGATTAGAGGAGGGGCGGGGGGGGGGGCATCATACTATGGCCTTCTAGTGTTAGTATAGTAAAGGACCAGGTCTAGGCCTACTAGTGTTAGTATAGTAAAGGACCAGGTCTAGGCCTACTAGTGTTAGTATAGTAAAGGACCAGGTCTAGGCCTACTAGTGTTAGTATAGTAAGGACCAGGTCTAGGCCTACTAGTGTTAGTATAGTAAAGGACCAGGTCTAGGCCTACTAGTGTAGTATAGTAAAGGACCAGGTCTAGGCCTACTAGTGTTAGTATAGTAAAGGACCAGGTCTAGGCCTACTAGTGTTAGTATAGTAAAGGACCAGGTCTAGGCCTACTAGTGTTAGTATAGTAAAGGACCAGGTCTAGGCCTACTAGTGTTAGTATAGTAAAGGACCAGGTCTAGGCCTACTAGTGTTAGTATAGTAAAGGACCAGGTCTAGGCCTACTAGTGTTAGTATAGTAAAGGACCAGGTCTAGGCCTACTAGTGTTAGTAAGTAAAGGACCAGGTCTAGGCCTACTAGTGTGTAGTATAGTAAAGGACCAGGTCTAGGCCTACTAGTGTTGTATAGTAAAGGACCAGGTCTAGGCCTACTAGTGTTAGTATAGTAAAGGACCAGGTCTAGGCCTACTAGTGTTAGTATAGTAAAGGACCAGGTCTAGGCCTACTAGTGTTAGTATAGTAAAGGACCAGGTCTAGGCCTACTCGTTGTTAGTATAGGTAAAGGACCAGGTCTAGGCCTACTAGTGTTAGTATAGTAAAGGACCAGGTCTAGGCCTACTAGTGTTAGGATAGTAAAGGACCAGGTCTAGGCCTACTAGTGTTAGTATGGTAAAAAGGACCAGGTCTAGGGCCTACTAGTGTTAGTATGGTAAAGGACCAGGTCTAGGCCTATAGTGTTAGTATGGTAAAGGACCAGGTCTAGGCCTACTAGTGTTAGTATGGTAAAGGACCAGGTCTAGGCCTACTAGTGTTAGTATGGTAAAGGACCAGGTCTAGGCCTACTAGTGTTAGTATGGTAAAGGACCAGGTCTAGGCCTACTAGTGTTAGTATGGTAAAGGACCAGGTCTAGGCCTACTAGTGTTAGTATGGTAAAGGACCAGGTCTAGGCCTACTAGTGTTAGTATGGTAAAGGACCAGGTCTAGGCCTACTAGTGTTAGTATAGTAAAGGACCAGGTCTAGGCCTACTAGTGTTAGTATAGTAAAGGACCAGGTCTAGGCCTACTAGTGTTAGTATAGTAAAGGACCAGGTCTAGGCCTACTAGTGTTAGTATAGTAAAGGACCAGGTCTAGGCCTACTAGTGTTAGTATAGTAAAGGAAGCCATAAGACTGCTGAACAATTAATCAAATGGCCACCCAGACTATTTACATTGACCCCCTCCTATTGTTTTTACACTGCTGCTACCCGCTGTCTATTATCTCTGCATAGTCACTTTACCCCTACCTACACGTACAAATTACCTCGACTAACCTGTACCCCCGCACATTGACTCAGTACCGGTACCCCCTGTATATACCCTCGTGATTGTTATTTTATTGTGTTACTTTTTAGTTTATTTAGTAAATATTTTCGTAACTATTTTTAAAAACTGCATTGTTGGTTAAGGTGTTGTAAGTAAGCATTTCACTGTAAGGACTACACCGGTTGAATTCGGCGCATGGGACAAATACAATTTGATAGATATTTTATTTTATTTTGATTTTTTGACACCTCATGAATGGTCTGAACCAGTATCTGTGGGTTAGAGACCTCATGGTCTGAACCAGTATCTGTGGGTTAGAGACCTCATGAATGGTCTGAACCAGTATCTGTGGGTTAGAGACCTCATGGTCTGAACCAGTATCTGTGGGTTAGAGACCCCATGAATGGTCTGAACCAGTATCTGTGGGTTAGAGACCTCATGAATGGTCTGAACCAGTATCTGTGTGTTAGAGACATCATGGTCTGAACCAGTATCTGTGGGTTAGAGACACCATGAATGGTCTGAACCAGTATCTGTGGGTTAGAGACCTCATGAATGGTCTTAACCAGTATCTGTGGGTTAGAGACATCATGGTCTGAACCAGTATCTGTGTGTTAGAGACCTCATGAATGGTCTGAACCAGTATCTGTGGGTTAGAGACCTCATGATTGGTCTGAACCAGTATCTGTGGGTTAGAGACATCATGGTCTGAACCAGTATCTGTGGGTTAGAGACCTCATGAATGGTCTGAACCGGTATCTGTGTGTTAGAGACCTCCATGAATGGTCTGAACCAGTATCTGTGGGTTAGAGACCTCATAAATGGTCTGAACCAGTATCTGTGGGTTAGAGACCTCATGATTGGTCTGAACCAGTATCTGTGTGTTAGAGACATCATGGTCTGAACCAGTATCTGTGGGTTAGAGACCTCATGGTCTGAACCAGTATCTGTGGGTTAGAGACCCCATGAATGGTCTGAACCAGTATCTGTGGGTTAGAGACCTCATGAATGGTCTGAACCAGTATCTGTGGGTTAGAGACATCATGGTCTGAACCAGTATCTGTGGGTTAGAGACATCATGAATGGTCTGAACCAGTATCTCTGTGTTAGAGACATCATGGTCTGAACCAGTATCTGTGGGTTAGAGACCCCATGAATGGTCTGAACCAGTATCTGTGGGTTAGAGACCTCATAAATGGTCTGAACCAGTATCTGTGGGTTAGAGACCTCATGAATGGTCTGAACCAGTATCTGTGGGTTAGAGACATCATGAATGGTCTGAACCAGTATCTGTGTGTTAGAGACATCATGGTCTGAACCAGTATCTGTGGGTTAGAGACCTCATGGATGGTCTGAACCAGTATCTGTGGGTTAGAGACCTCATGAATGGTCTTAACCAGTATCTGTGGGTTAGAGACCTCATGAATGTGAACGGTATCTGTGTTAGAGACCTCCATGAATGGTCTGAACCAGTATCTGTGGGTTAGGACCTCCATGAATGGTCTGAACCAGTATCTGTGGGTTAGAGACACCATGAATGGTCTGAACCAGTATCTGTGGGTTAGAGACCTCATGATTGGTCTGAACCAGTATCTGTGTGTTAGAGACATCATGGTCTGAACCAGTATCTGTGGGTTAGAGACCTCATGGTCTGAACCAGTATATGTGGGTTAGAGACCCCATGAATGGTCTGAACCAGTATCTGTGGGTTAGAGACCTCATGAATGGTCTGAACCAGTATCTCTGTGTTAGAGACATCATGGTCTGAACCAGTATCTGTGGGTTAGAGACCTCATGAATGGTCTGAACCAGTATCTGTGGGTTAGAGACCTCATGGTCTGAACCAGTATCTGTGGGTTAGAGACCCCATGAATGGTCTGAACCAGTATCTGTGGGTTAGAGACCTCATGAATGGTCTGAACCAGTATCTGTGGGTTAGAGACATCATGAATGGTCTGAACCAGTATCTGTGGGTTAGAGACCTCATGAATGGTCTGAACCAGTATCTCTGTGTTAGAGACATCATGGTCTGAACCAGTATCTGTGGGTTAGAGACCCCATGAATGGTCTGAACCAGTATCTGTGGGTTAGAGACCTCATAAATGGTCTGAACCAGTATCTGTGGGTTAGAGACCTCATGAATGGTCTGAACCAGTATCTGTGGGTTAGAGACATCATGAATGGTCTGAACCAGTATCTGTGGGTTAGAGACATCATGAATGGTCTGAACCAGTATCTGTGTGTTAGAGACATCATGGTCTGAACCAGTATCTGTGGGTTAGAGACCTCATGGATGGTCTGAACCAGTATCTGTGGGTTAGAGACCTCATGAATGGTCTTAACCAGTATCTGTGGGTTAGAGACCTCATGAATGGTCTGAACCAGTGTCTGTGGGTTAGAGACCTCATGAATGGTCTGAACCAGTATCTGTGGGTTAGAGACATCATGGTCTGAACCAGTATCTGTGGGTTAGAGACCTCATGGATGGTCTGAACCAGTATCTGTGGGTTAGAGACCTCATGAATGGTCTTAACCAGTATCTGTGGGTTAGAGACCTCATGAATGGTCTGAACCGGTATCTGTGTGTTAGAGACCTCCATGAATGGTCTGAACCAGTATCTGTGGGTTAGAGACCTCATAAATGGTCTGAACCAGTATCTGTGGGTTAGAGACCCCATGAATGGTCTGAACCAGTATCTGTGGGTTAGAGACCTCATGATTGGTCTGAACCAGTATCTGTGTGTTAGAGACATCATGGTCTGAACCAGTATCTGTGGGTTAGAGACCTCATGGTCTGAACCAGTATCTGTGGGTTAGAGACCCCATGAATGGTCTGAACCAGTATCTGTGGGTTAGAGACCTCATGAATGGTCTGAACCAGTATCTGTGGGTTAGAGACATCATGGTCTGAACCAGTATCTGTGGGTTAGAGACATCATGAATGGTCTGAACCAGTATCTCTGTGTTAGAGACATCATGGTCTGAACCAGTATCTGTGGGTTAGAGACCCCATGAATGGTCTGAACCAGTATCTGTGGGTTAGAGACCTCATAAATGGTCTGAACCAGTATCTGTGGGTTAGAGACCTCATGAATGGTCTGAACCAGTATCTGTGTGTTAGAGACATCATGGTCTGAACCAGTATCTGTGGGTTAGAGACCTCATGGATGGTCTGAACCAGTATCTGTGGGTTAGAGACCTCATGAATGGTCTTAACCAGTATCTGTGGGTTAGAGACCTCATGAATGGTCTGAACCGGTATCTGTGTGTTAGAGACCTCCATGAATGGTCTGAACCAGTATCTGTGGGTTAGAGACCTCATAAATGGTCTGAACCAGTATCTGTGGGTTAGAGACCCCATGAATGGTCTGAACCAGTATCTGTGGGTTAGACACCTCATGATTGGTCTGAACCAGTATCTGTGTGTTAGAGACATCATGGTCTGAACCAGTATCTGTGGGTTAGAGACCTCATGGTCTGAACCAGTATCTGTGGGTTAGAGACCCCATGAATGGTCTGAACCAGTATCTGTGGGTTAGAGACCTCATGAATGGTCTGAACCAGTATCTGTGGGTTAGAGACATCATGAATGGTCTGAACCAGTATCTGTGGGTTAGAGACCTCATGAATGGTCTGAACCAGTATCTCTGTGTTAGAGACATCATGGTCTGAACCAGTATCTGTGGGTTAGAGACCCCATGAATGGTCTGAACCAGTATCTGTGGGTTAGATACCTCATAAATGGTCTGAACCAGTATCTGTGGGCTAGTGACCTCATGAATGGTCTGAACCAGTATCTGTGGGTTAGAGACATCATGAATGGTCTGAACCAGTATCTGTGGGTTAGAGACATCATGAATGGTCTGAACCAGTATCTGTGTGTTAGAGACATCATGGTCTGAACCAGTATCTGTGGGTTAGAGACCTCATGGATGGTCTGAACCAGTATCTGTGGGTTAGAGACCTCATGAATGGTCTTAACCAGTATCTGTGGGTTAGAGACCTCATGAATGGTCTGAACCAGTGTCTGTGGGTTAGAGACCTCATGAATGGTCTGAACCAGTATCTGTGGGTTAGAGACATCATGGTCTGAACCAGTATCTGTGGGCTAGAGACCTCATGGATGGTCTGAACCAGTATCTGTGGGTTAGAGACCTCATGAATGGTCTTAACCAGTATCTGTGGGTTAGAGACCTCATGAATGGTCTGAACCGGTATCTGTGTGTTAGAGACCTCCATGAATGGTCTGAACCAGTATCTGTGGGTTAGAGACCTCATAAATGGTCTGAACCAGTATCTGTGGGTTAGAGACCCCATGAATGGTCTGAACCAGTATCTGTGGGTTAGAGACCTCATGATTGGTCTGAACCAGTATCTGTGTGTTAGAGACATCAAATCAAATCAAATCAAATTTTATTGGTCACATGCGCCGAATACAACAGGTGCAGACATTACAGTGAAATGCTTACTTACAGCCCTTAACCAACAGTGCATTTATTTTAAACAAAAAAGTAAGAATAAAACAACAACAAAAAAGTGTTGAGAGAAAAAGAGCAGAAGTAAAATAAAGTGACAGTAGGGAGGCTATATATACAGGGGGGTACCGTTGCATAGTCAATGTGCGGGGGCACCGACTAGTTGAGGTAATATGTACATGTGGGTAGAGTTAAAGTGACTATGCATAAATACTTAACAGAGTAGCAGCAGCGTAAAAAGGATGGGGTGGGGGGGGCAGTGCAAATAGTCCGGGTAGCCATGATTAGCTGTTCAGGAGTCTTATGGCTTGGGGGTAGAAGCTGTTTGAGGAGTCTTTTGGACCTAGACTTGGCACTCCGGTACCCGCTTGCCGTGCGGTAGCAGAGAGAACAGTCTATGACTAGGGTGGCTGGAGTCTTTGACAATTTTGAGGGCCTTCCTCTGACACCGCCTGGTATAGAGGTCCTGGATGGCAGGGAGCTTTGCCCCAGTGATGTACTGGGCCGTACGCACTACCCTCTGTAGTGCCTTGCGGTCAGAGGCCAAGCAGTTGCCATACCAGGCGGTGATGCAACCAGTCAGGATGCTCTCGATGGTGCAGCTGTAGAATTTTTTGAGGATCTGAGGACCCATGCCAAATCTTTTTAGTCTCCTGAGGGGGAATAGGCTTTGTCGTGCCCTCTTCACGACTGTCTTGGTGTGTTTGGACCATGATAGTTTGTTGGTGATGTGGACACCAAGGAACTTGAAGCTCTCGACCTGTTCCACTACAGCCCCGTCGATGAGAATGGGGGCGTGCTCAGTCCTCTTTTTTTTCCTGTAGTCTACAATCATCTCCTTTGTCTTGGTCACGTTGAGGGAGAGGTTGTTGTCCTGGCACCACACGGCCAGATCTCTGACCTCCTCCCTATAGGCTGTCTCATCGTTGTCGGTGATCAGGCCTACCACTGTTGTGTCGTCGGCAAACTTAATGATGGTGTTGGAGTCGTGCCTGGCCATGCAGTCATGGGTGAACAGAGAGTACAGGAGGGGACTGAGCACGCACCCCTGAGGGGCCCCCGTGTTGAGGATCAGTGTGGCAGATGTGTTGTTACCTACCCTTACCACCTGGGGGCGGCCCGTCAGGAAGTCCAGGATCCAGTTGCAGAGGGAGGTGTTTAGTCCCAGGATCCTTAGCTTAGTGATGAGCTTAGAGGGCACTATGGTGTTGAATGCTGAGCTGTAGTCAATGAATAGCATTCTCACGTAGGTGTTCCTCTTGTCCAGGTGGGAAAGGGCAGTGTGGAGTGCGATAGAGATTGCATCATCTGTGGATCTGTTGGGGCGGTATGCAAATTGGAGTGGGTCTAGGGTTTCTGGGATTATGCTGTTGATGTGAGCAATGACCAGTCTTTCAAAGCACTTCATGGCTACAGACGTCAGTGCTACGGGTCGGTAGTCATTTAGGCAGGTTATCTTAGAGTTCTTGGGCACGGGGACTATGGTGGTCTGCTTGAAACATGTTGGTATTACAGACTCAGTCAGGGACATGTTGAAAATGTCAGTGAAGACACTTGCCAGTTGGTCAGCACATGCTCGGAGTACACGTCCTGGTAATCCGTCTGGCCCTGCGGCCTTGTGAATGTTGACCTGCTTAAAAGTCTTACTCACATCGGCTACGGAGAGCGTGATCACATAGTCGTCCGGAACAGCTGGTGCTCTCATGCATGCTTCAGTGTTGCTTGCCTCGAAGCGAGCATAGAAGTGGTTTAGCTCGTCTGGTAGGCTTGTGTCACTGGGCAGCTCGCGGCTGTGCTTCTGAACCAGTATCTGTGGGTTAGAGACCCCATGAATGGTCTGAACCAGTATCTGTGGGTTAGAGACCCCATGAATGGTCTGAACCAGTATCTGTGGGTTAGAGACCTCATGGTCTGAACCAGTTATCTGTGGGTTAGAGACCCCATGAATGGTCCTGAACCAGTATCTGTGGTTAGGGGACCTCAGGGGTTAAACCCGAAGTATCTGGGGGTTAGAGACCCCTAAATTTGGTCTAAACCCAGTATCTGGGGGTTTTAGAGCCCCTCTTTAAAATGGTCTGAACCATATCTGGGGGTTAGAGACCTCAGGTCTAAACCCAGAAATTTTTGTGGGTTGGGGAGACCTCATGAAGGGTCTAAACCCAGTATCTCTGTTTTGGAGAAAACAGGGTCTGAACCGGGATCTGTGGGTTAGGGGCCCCCAATAAAATGGTTTTAAAACCATATCTGGGGGTTAGGGGCCCCATAAAAGGGTTCTGAACCAGTATCTTGTTTGGGGGGCCCTTTCATGAAGGGTCGGGAACCAGTTTTGGGTTAGGCCCTAATAAAATGGTTAAACCCCAGAAATCTCTGTGTTGAGACATCAGGGTCTGAACCAGTATCTTTTTTTTAAGACCCCATGAATGGTCTAAACCCAGTTCTGTGGGTTAGAGCCCTCATAAAGGGTTTTGAACCAGTATCTGGGGGTTTTTAGGGGCCTCATAAAGGGGTTGAACCAAAAATTTGGGGGGTTAGAGACTTTAATAATTTGGTCTTAACAAGTATCTGTTGTTAGGAATCATGGTCTGAACCATTATCTGGGGGTTTAGGGCCTCAGGAGGGTCTGAACCAGTTTTGGGTGGGTTAGAGCCCTCATGAATGGTCTTAACCATTATCGGGGGGGTTTAAAGGACCTCATGAATGGTCTAAAACCAGTGCCCTGGGGGTTTAGAGACCTAATAATGGTCTAAACCATATCTGGGGGTTTAAAGAGACAAAAAGGGTTTGAACCAGTATTTGGGGGTTTAGAGACCTCATGAATTTTTAACCAGTATTTTGGTGGTTAGAGACATCAGGGTCGAACCATTTATTTTTGTGGGTTGAGCCCTCATGGCCCTGAACCAGTATTGTGGGTTAGAGCCCCCAATAAATGGCCCTTTTTTTTGAACCAGTATTTTGTGGGTTAGGGGACCCCTTTGAAGGGTTTCTGAACCATATCTGGGGGGGAGGGGACCTAAATAATGGTCTGAACCGGGTATCGGGGGGGGTTAGAGACATCATGGTTGAACCAGATCTTTTGGGGTTAAAGAGACCTTTTGGTTAACCAGTATTTTGGTGTTAGGCCCTCAAAAAGGGGTTTTAAACCCCAAAATCTGGGGGTTTAAAACGACCCCAAAATTTGGTCTGAACCAGTATGGGGGGGTTAGAGACCCATGAATGGTCTGAACCAGATTTTGGGGTTAGAGACACCCATAAATTTGGTTTCTGAACCGGGAAAAATTGGGGGTTGAGACATAATGAATGGTTGAACCAAAACCCTCTGTTTTAGAGAAATCAGGGTTAAAACAAGTTCTGTGGGTTAAAAGACCCCATGAATGGTTTTAAAACCAGTATCTTTTGGGTTGGAGACCCATAAAGGGTCTGAACCAGAAAACTGGGGGTTAGAGACCTTTATGGGGGGTTTAAAACCCAGTATCTGGGGTTTTTAGAGACATAGGAAGGGTTTCTAAACCCAGTATTTTGTGTTTAGAGCCCATCTTTGGTCTGAAACCAAGTATTGGGGGTTAGGGGACCTCATGGCCCTAAAACCCAGTATTTTGGGGGTTAGAGACCCCCAAAAAGGGTTTCTGAACCGGGATCTGGGGGTTAGAGCCCTTTCAGAAGGGTTCTAAACCCAGTATCTGGGGGTTTAGGGGACCTCAAAATGGTCTGAACCAAAATTTTGGGGGTTAAAGACCTCAAAAGGGTTGAACCGTATCGGTGGGTTAGAAAAACCCCATGAATGGTCTAACCCGGGTTCTGTGGGTTAGAGACCTCATGGTCTATCCAGAAATCTGTGGGTTAGGGGACTCTTTGCGGGAACAGATCTGTAAAGTTGGGGGGGCCCTCATAAAGGGTCTGAACCAATTTACGGGGGGTTTGAGCCCCCTCTTTGGTCTGATCCGTATCTGTGGGTTGGGAGACATCATGGTCTAAAAACCGGGATCTGTGGGTTGGGGACCCCTGAATGGTCTAAACCAGTATCGTGGGTTAGAACCTCATTAATGGTTTTTAACCCAGTATCTGGGGGTTTAGGACATAAAGGTTTCTAAACCGTAAGGTGTTAAGAGACCCCATGAAGGGTCTAAAACCAATTTATTGGGGGTTAGGGACCTCTGTTTGGCCCTAAACCCAGTATCGTTGTTAGGACATATGGTCTAAAACCAGTATCGGGGGGTTTAGGACCTCATAAGGGTTTTAACCCGGAAATCTGTGTGTTGGGAAAAACCTCCAGAATGGTCTAAAACCAGTATCTGGGGTTAAAACCCCTCATAAATGGTCGAACCAGTATTTTTGGGGGGTTAAGCCCCCCATGAATGGTTTTAAAACCAGTATCTTTTGGGGTTGAGCCCCTCATGATTGGCCGGGAACCATTACCCGGGTTTTTTAGAGACATCATGGTTGAACAGTATCTGTGGGTTCGGCCCTAGGGTTCTGAACCAGTATCGGGGGTTTAGAGACCCCATGAATGGCCCTAAACCGATCGGGGGGTTGGGAAACCTCATGGCCTAAAACCGATCTGTGGGTTGGGAAAACCTCGGGTTTTAAAACCATTTATCTGTGGGTTAGGGGACCTCATGGTCTAACCCCGAAATTTTGTGGGTTAGGGACATCATAATGGTTGAACCGTATCGTGGGTTAGAAAACATCATAAAGGTCGGGAACCAGATTCTGGGGGGTTAGAGCCCCCATGAATGGCCCTAAACCCATTTAACTGGGGGTTAGGGGACCTCAAAAAGGGTTTCTAACCAGTATCTTTTGGGTTAGAGACCCATAAAGGTCTGAACCAGTATCTGGGGTTAAAAAGGACCTCTTTGTTTGGGTTTGGGGAACCAATCGGGGGGTTTTAGAGCCCATCTTTGGTCTAAACCATATCTGTGGGTTGAGACCCCCAGGTCTAAAACCAGAAAACCCTGGGGGTTAGAGCCCCCATAATGGTCTAAACCAGTATTGTGGGTTAAGACCTAAAATGGCCTGAACCGGGATCTGTGGGTTAGGGGACCTCATGGTCTGAACCAGAAATCGGTGGGTTAGAGACCTCAGGGTTTCTAAACCAGTATCTTTGGGTTAGAGCCCTTTAAGGGTCTAAACCCAGTTTTTGGGGGTTAGAGACATCATGAATGGTTTTAAACCCAGTTTCTGGGGGTTTAGGCCCCCAGAAGGGTCAAACCCATTATCGGGGGGGGTTAGAGCCTCATAAATGGTCAAACCCAATTTATCTGGGGTTAGAGACATCATAATGGTCTCCAGAAATTTTGGGGGTTTAGAACCTCTTTGAATGGTCTAAACCAGTATCTGTGGGTTAGAGCCCTCATGAAGGGTCTAAAACCAGTTTCTGTGTTTTAAAGGGGCCTCATGAATGGTTTTAAACCAAAGTATCTGGGGGTTTTCAAGGAAATCATGAATGGCCCTGAACCAGTATCTCTGTGTTAAAGACACATGGTTGAACCAGTACGGGGTTAAACCCCATAAAGGGTCCTGAACCTTTCTGTGGGTTGGGGACAAAATGAATGGTCTAAACCCCAGTACGTGTGTTAGCCCTAGGTTTTAAACCAGATCTGTGGTTAGAGACCTCATGGAGGGTTTCTAAAAACCGGGATCTGGGGGTTTAAAGAGACCTCAAAAAAAGGGTCAAACCGTTCTTTTTTGGGGTTAGAGACCTCATAAAATGGTCTAAACCAGTGCCCTTGGGGTTTAGAGACCTCATAAAAAGGGGGGGTCTGAACATATCTGTGGGTTAGGGGGCACTTTGGTTGAACCAGTCTTGGGTTAAAAGCCTTTCATTGGATGGTCTAACCAGTATTGTGGTTAGGCCCCAGGAAGGGTCTAAACCCGGTATCTTGGTTAGAGCCCCTCATAAATTTGGTCTAAAACCCGGGGTCTGGGGGGTTAAAAGACATAAATGAATGGTGGAACCCAAAATCTGTGGGTTAGGGGACCTATAAAGGGTTTGGAACCAGTATCGGGTAATTTAGAGCCCTCATAAATTTTCAAACCAGTACTGTTTTTTAGGGGACCTCTTTGGTTAAACCAGTTTTCGGGGTTAGAGACATCATGGATGGCCCTGAACCAGTATTGTGGGTTTTAGAGACCCCATGGAGGGCCCTAAACCCAGTATCTGGGGGTTTTAAAAGCCCCTCATGAATGGCCCGGAACCGAAATTGGGGGTTAGAGCCCCCCAATAAAAAGGGTTTCGAACCAGAAACGGTGGGTTAGAGACCTCATAAATGGCCCTGAACCGTATTGGGGGTTAGAGACCCTAAGGGGTTAAACCCAAAGGATCTGGGGTTTTAGGGCCCCTATGGATGGTTTGAACCAGTATCTGGGGGTTTAAAACCCTCATAAAATGGTCTGAACCAGTACGGGGGGTTTTGGGGGCATCAGGGTCGAACCAGATCTGGGGGTTTTAAGAGACCTCATGGTCTAAACCCAATATCTCTGTTAGGGGACCTCATGAAGGGCCCGAACCAGTATCTGGGGGTTTAAGACCCCATGAATGGTCTAACCAAAATTGGGGGTTTAGAACCTATAAATTTTTAAAAACCAGTATTTTTGGGGGGTTAGGGGACATCATGAAGGGTTTTTCGGGAACCAGTACTGTGGGTTAGAGAAATCATGAATGGTCTGAACCAGATCTCGTTTTAGGGAAAAAAAATGGCTGAACCAATCTGGGGGGTTAGAGCCCCCAGGGAAGGGTTTGAACCAGAAATCTGGGGGTTTTGAGACCTCAAAAATGGTCTAAACCCAGTATCTTTGGGTTAGAGACCCAGGGAAGGGTTTCTGAACCAGAAATTGTGGGTTAGAGCCCTCAAAATTTGGTCTAAACCAGTATCTTTTGTGTTAAGACACATGGCCCTGAACCAGTATCTGTGGGTTTTAAGACCCCCAATGGCCCCTGAACCAGTTCTGGGGGTTAGAGCCCCCTTCCTAAATGGTTGAACCAGTATTTTAATGGGTTAGAGCCCTCATGAAGGTCTAAACCCCATTTATCTTTTGGGTTAAAAGCCCTCAGAATGGTTAAAACCATTTTGGGGGGGTTTAAAGAGACCTCAGGGAAGGGTCGAACCAGTATTTTGGGGTTAAGCCCCCAATAAGGGCCCCGAACCGGGTATCTGTGGGTTAGAAAACCTCAGGTCGGTTTCCAGTATTGTGGGTTAGGGGAATCAGGGTTTCCTGAACCAGTATTTAGTTGGAAAAAATGAAGGTCTGAACCATTTTGGGGGGTTTTGGGGACCTCATGGTTGTTTCCCCAGTATTGTGGGTTAGAGACATCTGGTCAAACCAGTACTGTGGGTTAGGCCCCCAATAAATTTGCCCTGAACCATTTTATTGTGGGTTAGAGACCCATGAATGGTTTTTAAACCAGTATCTGTGGGTTAGGGGACAATGGTCCTAAAACCGGGATATTGTGTTAGAGCCCCCATAAAGGGTTTGGGAAACCAAAATTTTTGGGTTAGGAACCTCATGATTGGTCTAAACCCCCTTTAATCTGTGTGTTAGAAAACTCATGGCTGAACCAGTATCCTGGGGTTTTAGAGACCTCATGAATGGTCTAAAAGGGTTTAAATCTGGGGTGTTAGAGACCCCCATAATGGTCTGAACCAGTATCTGTGGGTTAGAGCCCCTCATAAATGGTTTAAAACAGAATCGGTGGGTTAGGGGCCCCCATGAATGGTCTAAACCCAGAAAATCGGGGGTTTAGAGACCTCTTTGGTTTGGGCGTCTAAACCAGTATCTGGGGTTGGGGGAAATCAGGGTCAACCAAATATCGGGGGGTTAGAGACCTCATTTTCTAAACCCAAATCTGGGGTTAAGCCCCCAAAAATGGTCTAACAGTATCTGGGGTTTGGGGCCCTCAGGGCCCTAAACCCCGTATCTGTGGGTTAGGGGCCTCAGGGTCGAACCGTATCTGGGGTTAGGACCCCCATGGTCTGAACCATTATCTGGGGGTTTTAGAGACACATGAAGGGGTCTGAACCAGTACTGGGTTTAAAGGAAAATCATGAATGGCCCCTAAACCAGTTTTCGTGGGTTTAGGGGCCCCATGAATGGTCCCTAAACCCATTATTGGGGGTTTAGAGACCTCTTTAAAGGGGTCTGAACCATTATCTGGGGGTTTAAGACCCCTTTGAAGGGTTCGAACCAGTACCCTGTGGGTTAAGACCTAAATGATTGGTGTAAACCCGTATCTGTTTTTAAAGAGACATCAGGGTTTAAAAACCCAGTATTCTGGGGGTTTAGAGACCTCAGGGGTCAAACCCAGTATCTGGGGGGTTAGGACCCCATAAAGGGTTCTAAAACCAGTATCTGGGGGTTGAGCCCTCTTTGGCCTAAAACCATTTATCTTGGGGTTAGGCCTCAGGGTTTCTAAACCCAGAAATCTGTGGGTTGGGAAGCCCCCTCATGGTTAAACCGTATCTGGGGTTAGGGGACATCTTTGAATGGTCTAAACCCAAATATCTGGGGGTTTTAAGCCCTCATGAATGGTCTGAACCAGATTTGGGGTTAGAACCCCATAAATTTGGTTTCGGGAACCCAGTATCGGGGGGGTTTAGAGACCCCATGAAGGGGCTAAACCCAAAGTATCTGGGGTTAGAAAACATAAAAATGGTCTAAACCCCGTATCTGGGGGTTAGGGGGCCCCGGGAAGGTCGAACCAGACTGTGGGTTAGAAAATTTCTTTAAAGGTCTAAAACCAGTATCTTTGTTTTAGGCCTCATGAATGGTCTGACCAGTTTTTTGGGGGGTTTTAGAGAAAACATGAAATGGTCTAAACCCAGTATCTCTGTTTTTAGAGCCCTAGGGGTCTAAAACCAGTATCGGGGGGGGGTTAAGGACCCCATAAGGTTTCCTGAACCGTATCTGTGGGTTAGGGGGGGGCCAATCATGAATGGTCTGAACCAAAATCTTTTGTGTTGGGACATCAGGGTTTAACCGGGTATCGTGGGTTAAGACCCATGGGGGCCCCTAAAACCCAGTTTTTTGGGGGTTAGAGCCCTCATGAAGGTTTTTTTAACCAGTATCTGGGGTTTTTAGGGCCCCTCATGAATGGTCTAAAAACCAGTGTTGTGGGTTAGAGCCCTCAAAATTTTGGGGTTTCTGAACCGTATTTTTGGGGGTTTAGAGACATCTGGTTTAACAAATTCTGTGGGTTAGAGACCCCCCTTGAGGTCAAACCCAAAGATCTGTGGGTTAGAGACCCCATAATTTGCTTCTAACCCCCATTTATCTGTGGGTTAGAGACCTCATAAGGGCCCTAACCCGTGCCCTGGGTTGAGCCCTCTTTAATGGGGGGGAATCAGATCTGGGGTTAGAGACCTCATAAAATGGTTGAACCATATCTGTGGGTTTAAAGACCTATGAATGGTCAAAACCCCGTATCGTGGGTTAGAGACCTCTTTGTCTGAACCAGTATCGGGGGGGTTTAGAGACCCCTGGATGGTTTTGAACCAGTACCCTTTTGGGTTAAGACCCCATGGAGGTTGAACCCAGAAACCCTGGGGGGTTTAGGGGCCCCTCAAAAAGGGTCTGAACCATTCTGGGGGTTTAGAGACCCCATGAATGGTCTGAAACCAGTATCTGGGGTTTAGAGACCTCATGAATGGTCTGAACCAGTATCTGTGGGTTAGAGACCCCATGAATGGTCTGAACCAGTATCTGTGGGTTAGAGACCTCATGGATGGTCTGAACCAGTATCTGTGGGTTAGAGACCTCATGAATGGTCTGAACCAGTATCTGTGGGTTAGAGACCTCATGAATGGTCTGAACCAGTGTCTGTGGGTTAGGGACCTCATGAATGGTCTGAACCAGTATCTGTGGGTTAGGGACCTCATGAATGGTCTGAACCAGTATCTGTGGGTTAGGGACCTCATGAATGGTCTGAACCAGTATCTGTGGGTTAGAGACCTCATGAATGGTCTGAACCAGTATCTGTGTGTTAGAGACATCATGGTCTGAACCAGTATCTGTGGGTTAGAGACCTCATGGATGGTCTGAACCAGTATCTGTGGGTTAGAGACCTCATGAATGGTCTCAACCAGTATATAAAATACTTGTTCTCCCCACTGTAGGTATAGGTTTGGTGGATGGCCCTTAACTCTGACAACCCAACTAACGTTATTATCACAACACAACTAGCCTACTAGTAAGTCTAGCTAACGTTAGCCAACTTGAATGGAATACATATCAAATTCTTCTTCTACTTGTTTACTTGACTTTTATACTCTTGTCAATTGACTCTTTCAAATCATTTACGGCATTAAGTAGGGAAGTAGAGTGGAGGTCGAATCCATCACTTCCGTTGTTTGGCTATGCCCATAGCAACGTTAGAAAATGAGGTGGATAGAACTCTCCTACACAATTGTCCTAATAGAACTCTCCCACAACATAACTCTCCTACAGAACTCTCACACCACAGAACTCACCTATATAACTCACCTATAGAACTCTCCTATAGAACTCTCCTATAGAACTCTCCCACAACATAACTCTCCTACAGAACTCTCACACCACAGAACTCACCTATAGAACTCTCCTATAGAACTCTCCCACAACATAACTCTCCTACAGAACTCTCACACCACAGAACTCACCTATAGAACTCTCCTATAGAACTCTCCCACAACATAACTCTCCTACAGAACTCTCACACCACAGAACTCACCTATTTGACACACAATGTTAGCAGATCTTCAACCAAAACCTAATATTAGATAAAGGGAACCTGAGTGAAAAAATAAAAACAATTACATAATTATTTCATTTACAGTGGGGAAAAAAAGTATTTAGTCAGCCACCAATTGTGCAAGTTCTCCCACTTAAAAAGATGAGAGAGGCCTGTAATTTTCATCATAGGTACACGTCAACTATGACAGACAAAATGAGAAAAAAAAATCCAGAAAATCACATTGTAGGATTTTTTATGAATTTATTGGCATATGATGGTGGAAAATAAGTATTTGGTCAATAACAAAAGTTTCTCAATACTTTGTTATATACCGTTTGTTGGCAATGACACAGGTCAAACGTTTTCTGTAAGTCTTCACAAGGTTTTCACACACTGTTGCTGGTATTTTGGCCCATTCCTCCATGCAGATCTCCTCTAGAGCAGTGATGTTTTGGGGCTGTCGCTGGGCAACACAGACTTTCAAATCCCTCCAAAGATTTTCTATGGGGTTGAGATCTGGGGACTGGCTAGGCCACTCCAGGACCTTGAAATGCTTCTTACGAAGCCACTCCTTCGTTGCCCGGGCGGTGTGTTTGGGATCATTGTCATGCTGAAAGACCCAGCCACGTTTCATCTTCAATGCCCTTGCTGATGGAAGGAGGGTTTCACTCAAAATCTCACGATACATGGCCCCATTCATTCTTTCCTTTACACGGATCAGTCGTCCTGGTCCCTTTGCAGAAAAACAGCCCCAAAGCATGATGTTTCCAACCCCATGCTTCACAGTAGGTATGGTGTTCTTTGGATGCAACTCAGCATTCTTTGTCCTCCAAACATGACGAGTTGAGTTTTTACCAAAAATTTATATTTTGGTTTCATCTGACCATATGACATTCTCCCAATCCTCTTCTGGATCATCCAAATGCACTTCAGACGGGCCTGGACATGTACTGGCTTAAGCAGGGGGACACGTCTCGCACTGCAGGATTTGAGTCCCTGGCGGCGTAGTGTGTTACTGATGGTAGGCTTTGTTACTTTGGTCCCAGCTCTCTGCAGGTCATTCACTAGGTCCCCCGTGTGGTTCTGGGATTTTTGCTCACCGTTCTTGTGATCATTTTGACCCCACGGGGTGAGATCTTGCGTGGAGCCCCAGATCGAGGGAGATTATCAGTGGTCTTGTATGTCTTCCATTTCCTAATAATTGCTCCCACAGTTGATTTCTTCAAACCAAGCTGCTTACCTATTGCAGATTCAGTCTTCCCAGCCTGGTGCAGGTCTACAATTTTGTTTTTGGTGTCCTTTGACAGCTCTTTGGTCTTGGCCATTGTGGAGTTTGGAGTGTGACTGTTTGAGGTTGTGGACAGGTGTCTTTTATACTGATAACAAGTTCAAACAGGTGCCATTAATACAGGTAACGAGTGGAGGACAGAGGAGCCTCTTAAATAAGAAGTTACAGGTCTGTGAGAGCCAGAAATCTTGCTTGTTTGTAGGTGACCAAATACTTACTTTCCACCATAATTTGCAAATAAATTCATTAAAAATCCTACAATGGGATTTTCTGGATTTTTTTTCCTCGATTTGTCTGTCATAGTTGACATGTACCTATGATGAAAATTACAGGCCTCTCTCATCTTTTTAAGTGGGAGAACTTGAACAATTGGTGGCTGACTAATGTCGTAGTAAATATATAATGTTATAGCTTGGTCTGACTAAAATCTTGTGCATGACCCATTTTGTGTTGGGCCTTTGTATTCAATACAATGGACAAAAGAGTCCTATCTTGTCAGCCTTGTCAGCAGGTGGCTAAGGACAACACCCACGCCATAGGTCTCTCAGTTCTTCCAACTCACGAGTTCTTGCTCTGAGGACACACACACACACACCCACACACACACACACACACACACACACACACACACACACACACATCATCACTGATAAACACACACACACACACACACACATCATCACTGATAACACACACACACACACACACACACACACACACACACACATCATCACTGTTAAACACACACATACACACACACACACACACAAAAATCCCCTTCTCTTAGGCTGAACATTTGAAGACAGAGAACCCGACTCAGAGCCAATGCAACAGTGGAGGGGACCTCGCCCAACTCATCAGGACCAATCAGAAGATCAGAACTACTAGATTCAACCTACATCATTTACTGTATAAAATGTCTGCACACAATGTTTCGGGGCTCTCTCAGATATCTCCCTACGAGATTGACGAACGGGTCCGTGCACGCGATTCCAGATATCTTTACCTCTGAATAAACTGCCTTTATTATACCATATTCACCCTGTCCAAAGTCTCTACTTGGTCTCAGTTCTCCAGTAAACTTGTATTATCAACACTAAATACTTTTTTCCCCCACTGTATTTCATAAACAAAGTTATGCAACACCCAATGCCCCTGTGTGAAAAAGTAATTGCCCCTTTACACTGAATAACTGGTAGTACCTTTAGCTGCAATGACTCCAACCAAACCCTTCCTGTAGTTGTTGATCAGTCTCTCACATCGCTGTGGAGGAATTTTGGCCCACTCTTGCATACAGAACTGCAGTTAAAGTTGATACAACCAGTTATTGAGTGTAAGGGGGCAATTACTTTTTCAATCAGGGGCATTGGGTGTTAAATAACTTTTTTTATGAAATAAGTATGTAATTGTTGTGTTATTTGTTCACTCAGGTTCCCTTCATCTAATATTAGGTTTTGGTTGAAGATCTGATAATTCAGTATAAAAAAACTATGCAAAAGTAAAGAAAATTAGAAAGGGGGCAAATACACTGCTCAAAAAAATTAAGGGAACACTAAAATAACACATCCTAGATCTGAATGAATGAAATATTCTTATTAAATACTTTTTTCTTTACATAGTTGAATGTGCTGACAACAAAATCACAGAAAAATTATCAATGGAAATCAAATTTATCAACCCATGGAGGTCTGGATTTGGAGTCACCCTGAAAATTAAAGTGGAAAACCACACTACAGGCTGATCCAACTTTGATGTAATGTCCTTAAAACAAGTCAAAATGAGGCTCAGTAGTGTGTGTGGCCTCCACGTGCCTGTATGACCTCCCTACAACGCCTGGGCATGCTCCTGATGAGGTGGCGGATGGTCTCCTGAGGGATCTCCTCCCAGACCTGGACTAAAGCATCCGCCAACTCCTGGACAGTCTGTGGTGCAACGTGGCGTTGGTGGATGGAGCGAGACATGATGTCCCAGATGTGCTCAATTGGATTCAGGTCTGGGGAACGGGGCGGTCCATAGCATCAATGCCTTCCTCTTGCAGGAACTGCTGACACACTCCAGCCACATGAGGTCTAGCATTGTCTTGCATTAGGAGGAACCCAGGGCCAACCGCACCAGCATATGGTCTCACAAGGGGTCTGAGGATCTCATCTCGGTACCTAATGGCAGTCAGGCTACCTCTGGCGAGCACATGGAGGGCTGTGCGGCCCCCCAAAGAAATGCCACCCCACACCATGACTGACCCACCGCCAAACCGGTCATGCTGGAGGATGTTGCAGGCAGCAGAACGTTCTCCACGGCGTCTCCAGACTCTGTCACGTGCTCAGTGTGAACCTGCTTTCATCTGTGAAGAGCACAGGGCGCCAGTGGCGAATTTGCCAATCTTGGTGTTCTCTGGCAAATGCCAAACGTCCTGCACGGTGTTGGGTTGTAAGCACAACCCCCACCTGTGGACGTCGGGCCCTCATACCACCCTCATGGAGTCTGTTTCTGACCGTTTGAGCAGACACATGCACATTTGTGGCCTGCTGGAGGTCATTTTGCAGGGCTCTGGCAGTGCTCCTCCTGCTCCTCCTTGCACAAAGGCGGAGGTAGCAGTCCTGCTGCTGGGTTGTTGCCCTCCTACGGCCTCCTCCACGTCTCCTGATGTACTGGCCTGTCTCCTGGTAGCGCCTCCATGCTCTGGACACTACGCTGACAGACACAGCAAACCTTCTTGCCACAGCTCGCATTGATGTGCCATCCTGGATGAGCTGCACTACCTGAGCCACTTGTGTGGGTTGTAGACTCCGTCTCATGCTACCACTAGAGTGAAAGCACCGCCAGCATTCAAAAGTGACCAAAACATCAGCCAGGAAGCATAGGAACTGAGAAGTGGTTTGTGGTCACCACCTGCAAAACCAGTCCTTTATTGGGGGTGTCTTGCTAATTGCCTATAATTTCCACCTGTTGTCTATTCCATTTGCACAACAGCATGTGAAATGTATTGTCAATCAGTGTTGCTTC